AATTCATGAAGGAGTGCTCTGGCACATGGAAACTACATTATATGAGGCTAATGATGCAAATGGACATAAAATAATGGAAATAATGAGACAAATATCCAGTCTGGCTATCAGTTCTATTGACAGAGGAATTACTCAATCAATTCCCTCACTGACACTGGAAATGGCTTAACGTCATATTTTACTAACAAGGCGAGTCTTGTGGGAGGCAGCAGGAAGACAGCTTTTCAGCCACTGAATCAGAGCAATCCACTCTTTGACTGAAAGTGAAAAACATATATTGGAACCGTCTAATAAATCAATGTCAGTAAAATGAAATATGCATATTAGCTATGAAATCTGATGCTGCATTCAGCCATTGCACAGAAGTCCATCCTAGCGAGGGGTTAACATATCAGTTGCTCTGCATGGCACACCCCCGTTCTCCATCTTTCTGTCCATTTCCCTCCATCCTCTCTCTCCCTCAGCGGGTAGCAGAGGAGAGGTGATATCTGTGACGCCGAAAGCAGAAACATTTCTCCATGTGGTGTTTATGCAAATGGCAGTTGCGTAGGTGGAGAGGCAACAACATTGCCCCGATGATGACTAATACTTTTGTTTCATGATACATATTGCTGTTTCGAATGCGCACATTTTGCTGGACTGAATGGCTACTTGTAAGTGTCCTTCAAAAGCCTTTTGAAATTGCAAAAACAATTTTAAATGCCATGAAAGAAACGCTCTTAATCACATCACTTTGATCTAGGAGATCCCAAATAATTATATAAATGCCCTATAATAAATGAAGGACATGAGAAATAATTTATGAGCTACTTGCCACTATTAAATGCATTTCACATTTGTGGCTTCGCTTGAGTTCACTTGCACACTGTCCATTTTATAAAAACACACAATGGTGCTTCTATTGTCAACTCTCACATACACTTCCCTCCTTCTCTCATTACACAAGCACACACCTGAACTGCACCTGTTATCAGTCCTCCATACCTGGTCAAGAGCCCTGCCACATAACCATGGCAAAATCAACATTTTGTTACTGAACAGTCAGTACAACATACAGACAGGATGTGTAGATTAAAAAGGATTGATAGTGGGGTAAGATGTGCCAGTGGGTAAACTGTGCCACACTCTACAAAACAGAGCGTAATTTGTCACATGACCATATACTTAGAAAGAGCCTTTCCTTTACAACTTTTGAGCAATGCACATGAAAAAAGTAAAAATTCATTTTTTTTTTACATTGTTTTCTCTTTTGCATGCCAAAGTATTTTTTTTCTAAATAGCAAGTGAAATTAATTTCATATCAAAGCAGATTTATTCAGTCGGTGAATTGCCTGTGTACAAAACCATGTACAATTTTTGCAAATTATTTCATTATTAAATAAAGCATTTTCCCCATAATGTTGAATTGGGAAAAAATATGGAACTATTACTAAAAATACAACTGTAAATGTTAAATTTTTTGTACAATCAAATATTCGAAATATTAAAAATGTCCAGGGCGGTATCTACAAAATTAAGACATTGGAATGAGACTAATATATTAGTAAACTGGTTGAGTATATCTTTAATGTAAAATGTTCACATGTTGCAATGATTCAACTTACCCCCAACATGAAGCAACTATCTTTTTCTGAGGTCATATTTCAGATTTCTAATAGATGTTTTCTCATTTCACTTGATGACAAGCTTCCTGATATATAATTGGACATATTAGATCTAATTTTCCTTTCCCAGAGGCAAACTTAAAAATGACACAGCTTACCCCACTCCCCCATCAACATCCAATCAACATGCATTGTATGCAGGGGCCCAGAATAGCAGTGCACTCCAACTCAACCTTGACACGTTGAAGAAAAAGGTGTGTACAATTCTGAAATGTAAACACAGCAGCGTTCTGTATAGGTCATGCGACACGAGCTCCACTGGATGCCACTGTCACCGAAACGTTTAGCAGGTGCCACCAGCAGGGTTCCAACCTCGAAGAGGAGATCAAAGTTAAAATTACGAGGAACATTATGTCCCTTCGGAATTTCCCACGTCCCCACTGACCTGTTGCCTGCGGGAGGTTGCGGCGCAATCCTCGGCGGCGCTCTCCAGTCCTTCCCCCTGGTGAGCGGGCGCTCCATTCATGTCCAGTACCGCATCCACCATCTCCAGCTGTCGTCCTCGGAGAAGGTCCAGCTCCAATATGCCGGCCAGAGTGGCTTTGAGCCGCTCTCCGATACGAACCCGATCGCTCCCTGACCATAGCGAATTCACACAACCGCGACGACTGGCCATTGTGCGCGCAAAATCGGTTTGTAGGCAGACACGGTGGTCGGTGAACGGGAGGACTCACTGCTCGCCTCTAGCCAGAGCACCGACTGTCAATGCAGCATGAGCGCTGTGCGACATGAGCAACACCGGAGCCGACGCTTAAAATTCAGAGTCCGTAACAATGTATCACGAAAATGCAGTACGGTCGCAACTCAACTTTCGCACTGAGGCACATGTAACAAAGGCATACTTTTAAGGTCGTAATTTAACCCCCGAAAAAATCTTTCCCACCTAACCATTTTGAGACGCCACAACCATCACGTCAGCTATCATTCGGTTCATGATGATGATGATGATGATGAAGATTATGTGGATTGAATCATATGCGACAGTCTAGCACACAGCTCGCCGCTGTGAAGAAAAGAGTGATCACGAAAATGCAGTACGGTCGCAACTCAACTTTCGCACTGAGGCACATGTAACAAAGGCATACTTTTAAGGTCTTAATTTAACCCCCGAAAAAATCTTTCCCACCTAACCATTTTGAGACGCCACAACCATCACGTCAGCTACCATTCGGTTCATGATGATGATGATGATGATGAAGATTATGTGGATTGAATCATATGCGACAGTCTAGCACACAGCTCGCCGCTGTGAAGAAAAGAGTATGAATGGGGAGGAGTTAGACGCGAAAGCTCGCTGCTGATTGGCCGCGGAAGTTTTCGAACAGAATTGACTCGCTTTTTTTAAGACGAGGAATGTGAATCTGTTAGTAGTTAGTACGATGTGTTGAGACTGTCGCGTTGCATAATATTTAATACAAACTTGAATTGTGCTCATTTATCAAATTTAAAGACTAAAAATTAGTGGAACAGAGTGACTCAAATCTATTTGAGTCTTTGAATTCGTTCACTAGAAAGAATTTTTTGCGCGCTTAAAGAATCAAAAATGAATCAGTTCATGGAATGATTCCTTCACTTAAATCATTCATGAACCACTACTAGAGAAATATTGGACCACGTTCAACTATGAGCAAATAAAGTAAAAAAAATCAAATAAAAAAATGATGACCCACATTGTGATTGAAAAGAGTATGCTGTTACTTTAAAGACGTGTATTACCCTACTTTGTGTACTTTTCCAAATGATCAAATATCCGCTTGGTTTTGTTGGTTTCAAATAGCAGGTTCCTGTATCGGCTGCTATGCGACGAGAAAGTCCACTGCTGACACAAAGGAAAGCCAGCCAGTTTCTAACCAGCAGGTGACAGTATCTGCCTGTCTAACATACACCAAGCAAGCTTTCCATCAGTAATCGTTTAATCGCCTATCACTCTGACACGGGGGTAGGAAGATTAGTCAAATATGGTCAAATATAGGTTGGATACTCCATAGGTCTATCCATGTTGGATATAGAGTTTAGTTTATACTGAAACCAAATCACAAATGAAAACATCAGATGAAAATAAATAGATAATATAAGACTTGTTTTAGCATGATGCATATGTATGTAAAATCAATTTGTTAATTTATAAAACAGTTACAATTGCGATTCATTTGCCTCTGAAAGAGTATTCTTATCTTAAGTTTAAACAAAATATATGAAGCAGGCCTATAGCACAATATTTTCTGCATATCAGCTCTTTCTTACTTCTTTCATCACTCTTTAAAATAAAACTAACTTGACTATTCAGGCAAACTTCCTGCTGAAACCATCAAACTAAATGTGAAACCTCAAAATCTGGCAGTTCTCTTCCACTTCAGGCTTTTTTTAATCCTCTTTTCCCACAAACATAATTTCTGTTTGTAAAATCCTAATAATTTACATAATCTATTTTGCATACATTACTCTGATGTGAGCACCTTTAAGTCAGATCCATCAAAATTCATATGTAACTTTTCAATCTGCTTTGAAATTTCATGGTATAGTTAAGTTTAAATGCTTTAAACACAGTTTTACTCCTCAGTGGTTCAGTAAATATATTGTTGAGCCAGTGAGGTGTAAATGTGTTTAAAATGTTTTGTTTAAACTAATATGCCAAACCCTATTGCTATCTTGGCCTTGTTATTGTTTCATATAGCCTAATGCCCATCAGGCACATAATGTGCATTGTTTATTTCATATCTCTCTGACCTCATTGAGAATGGGAGCATGGTGAGGATAGGCCTTAGGGTAAGGGAAAAACTGGCTTTTGTTCCAAACTCTGAGGCTCTTGGGCTCTGTTTCACTATGGTTATGCTTATGCAGTCTTTAACATACTAACCTCATTGTGTTTGGGGCTCAGTCATCTATCACAAAAACACAGACATTTCACTCAAAAATGAAAATTCTGTCATCATTTTTGAGTGAAAAAAATGTCTAGTTCCAAAACTAACCATGTGTCTTACGTTCTTCTTTGGAAAATAAAATATTTTTAGAAAATGAGAAAAAAAATGTGTGTGTGTGTGTGTGTATATATATATATATATATATATATATATATATATATACCTCCTGGACATAAACAGGAGCCTTGATAAAGAAAAGAAAAGAAAAAAAATTTAACTTAGAGGCTTTTTCATCTGAACTCTTCAGCTATATAATATGTATGATGGATGCCTGTACATTCAGTGATTCATGAATTTTTGACAAATTCTGTTTCCATCTATTTTTCAATACAAAGAGAGTATTTAAAACGCGTCACACCCTGTGGCATAAACGGTCTGCTTGAGTATACAGGCCTACGCTCGTAGTTGAGTTTAGGGAACTCCGTTTCTCACGTCTGTCACGTCTGTTGTTCACTGAGGTGTTACACAAACGGATGCCGTGATTCGCAATTAAGCTGTCATGGCACTCGCTTCAAATAGCCAGTGTCTGTGAATGTTTTGCTCATTTACAGCGACGGTTCATTATTGATCGAGCGCGAGGACGGGAGAGGCTCCGAAGAGGGTTTGAAGAGCTTATGTAACGGTTCATGTCCTAATATCATCGCAAGGCCTTTAATTACGCGCAAGCACTTCTCATCTTTTCACACCTCAGACTGTCCTCCCTCTAAACACACACACACACACACACACACGTATAAAGGCCGAGCCCCGCGAGCTGAAAACAGGCACTTGAGACAACTTCCTCCCGTGGGCACTTCGTCAGCTCGGGACCAGCCTCCTCCCTCACCATCTTACAGGTCTCCAGCCTCGCCAAACTCCAGTCAGAATGCCTCCCTACGAGAGATCCATGGAAATAACGCCTTTCAAGCAAAGGAAGTGCCTCGGTAGGTCATGACATCAACATTCAACTCTTGCATTTTACAAACTCCTCTACGTCACTTGTTTTGATGTCTGCGCTATTTTATGTAAAACAATGTTCCATTCTCATAAAAATTAATAATATTTGTTCCTCTAATGCAGCAACAAGAAAAGATGAAGTATGTACTATTCGGTCTAAGTTCCCCAACAAATTACCAGTAAGATACCTTTTTAATATAAAGTGTTTAAAGAAAAATGAAAAAACATTTTTTAAATATATTTAAGAAATGTTGTTTTGTATTTTAGGTAATTGTGGAGCGATACCTTCGTGAGAAAAAGCTTCCCCTACTGGACAAAACCAAATTTCTTGTCCCACATGAGCTGTCATTTGGGCAGTTTCTCAGTCTGCTCAGGTGTGTATACTCTCTCTCTCTCTCTCTCTCTCAATTATATGATGCAGTTTTAGCTGCATGTGTCAGATTTTGCAGCTCAAAAGAAAATGAGTCATGGCTTGTTTTCTTGAGTCAGTGTGAATGTGTTTTGTATGAACAGTGAATCAGGCCAGTGCTGCTGTGCCACATTGCTTCAATCACTGGATCGCTGTATGAGGCACCGCCTGAAGTTTTAGAATCTTTCAAGCAATTCTTTTCAGTAATGCCAATTTCCCATCTTGCTCTTTCTCTTTCAGAAGTAAGATAGCACTAGAGGCATCTCAAGCTCTGTACCTTCTGATCTCAGGAAAGAACATGTCCTGTTTGTCAGCCAGCATGGGAGAAGTTTACTCACAATTCAGAGACCCCGATGGCTTTCTCTACATAACCTATGCATCCCAGGACATGTTTGGATGAAAAGACCCTCAGAAATGAGCATGACATATAGATCACCTCACATACCTCCAGACTGATGCCTCTCTGAGATCATGTATTGCTGCTAAATGAAGACTCTCACTGTACATCAAACCTAAAACCACACAGACCACCAGCTACACTTGGTCGAGAGGACTCTTCTGACCTCATTTTTGAATAGTTTAGATTTCTCTGAGGCTAATGTTGAAGCATAATCAGTAGATTTGAAAGAGGTTACAACTGAGCCGTCTAATATGAAGAACAGAAAAGTGATGTCACTTCTCAAGCTGCTCAGTCATGAGGCTCCAACACAAAAAAGGACGTCCTGTCCCTCAAAGGACCTGGGATGTCCTGTCACAATGAGACAGGGTATGTTCGATGCTGGTTTCCTTTCCTTGTTCTTTCTGTGACTGTGCATCTGTGTTTCTAAAACAAACACAGAGGAAACGGACAAACAAAAAACTATTTAAGCACCTACTGGAATGAAAATGAGTGCAAACAACACAGTCATTATGTACTCTGCTTCAAATACGGTTGGAAAATCCTCAATAAATCAGTTTAGTTCTTTTAACTGAATGTCTGGTTTTATTTGATTCCATCTATTCTGTTCATGTGGTTTATTCTCTTCAACAGGGAACTAAGATTAACATGGTGACATACACCACAGGGTAGGGACATAATTTGCTTATTTCTGGGCAGCTTAAAATAAACAATATGGCCAGTAAGTGATGGTTTATGTACTCATAAACATGCACAGAGCAGTGAAGCAATTCTTTGCTAGAAATCTGAGTCATTGCTTTTTAGTCTCACACGTCTTCTAAAGATGCATCACCCTTTTACACATGGCTGTTATTAACCAGCATCTTTAATAAAAGGGTTTAGGTTACCGTGTCAGTAAGCAGGAGGTGCTAAATGGGTCCGGTCTAACAAATTATATGGATATAAACCATTTAAAAGGCTGCGAATTGCATGTTAGTGTCCCTCACAATGCAACTAGACCTTCATACTTCATCCGTATTTAGCAAGGCTGTTTTAATTTAAGATTAAGCACAAATATAGGGTGGGTTGATGGTGGTAATTTTAAACCCTTCACATCTGCATTCTTACTTTTACTTAGGACATTACTGGGAACTTTAGCACCTTCCTGCAAAGTGTGTTTACTGAGAAATGGCAATGAGAAAGTTCAAACGGAGGTAAACTGAGGTTTTGGTATGCTGATAGTATAAGGTATTAATTAAATGCACATAACAGTGCCAAAACAAAGTAGTATATATATTAAGTTGTTTAGTACTGTTCAAAAGCTTGTCAAATTTAATTTATTCCAGTGATGGCAAAGCTGAATTTTCAGCAGCCATTACTCCAGTGTCAAAAATACACTCCAGTGTATTTCTCAAAATAACAGAACACTCCAGTGTATTTTTTAGTGACAATGTAAGTATTTACTATCACTTTTGCTCCATTTGATGCTTCCTTGCTCAATAAAAGAATTAATTTCCTCAAATTACCCCAAACTTTTACATCTTCATTAATGCAAACAAACAAATGTGGAACCAATAGGCAGTCTTTTTCTTTTCAGACAAAAAAAAAAGTGTTGCAAGAGGGTTCACATTACACCAAACTAAGATAGTAACTAAGTAAGCCAGCTGCATAAGAAGAAAAAAAATCAGTGATAAACTCCCAATAGCTGCCGAAGGAAACAAGGCTTAAAAAGTACCTCAACATGCCTCAACATAACTTGATAAGCAGAGAGAAATATGATGCGGTCATTGCATTACTACCACAGTTTTCACATACTAGTACACAGGTTTCAGTCAGCGCTCATGAAAACAGATGGCAGATAAATGTACACATTTTTCACAACTGTCAATGGTGGTGTTTGTTTCACTACACACTGCGATTTGGAAAATGTTTCTGAATGCAGAAAACAAGCACTGCTTACAAATAAACTCTTTTATTGGTCATTGCAATTGCTGCATTTAAATGAAGGTGAGCATTTCAGGTCACAACATCCCAAAGGAAAGGAAAGATACACCCTCAAAATAACAGAATACATGTATTGATATTGATATAGTTCAGATATTAAATCAAAAGAAAACCGTATTCAAAAAAACGATAGAACTGCTATAAAGGAAAAGAATAAGTTAAAGAAGAAAAACAGCAATCAACATTTTGGAGTTACATACCATTGTATTGAATATTTTCACTTTTTTTCTAATTCAACTAAATTTTTGCCTGCTGCTTTACAATCTCAATCAAATGCCCCTTACACGGTACCATAGAACTTTGCAATCAATTTCAATTCTTTCTGTGCTCATAGTGGTTTCTCCATTTCCAAGTTCCATATTAAAAATTAAGAAGAAAGTAAAAAAAAAAAGGTCTCTCACTTGCACATAAGTTCTTGGTTTGTCTTCTCAGTCCTATCATTCTTAGCCAAGCATTTGGGATTAAGAGAGAAATCGAGTTCCTGAAGACTGGTTAGTCAAATGAATGGTCAGAACAAGCTAGAAGATGGCTTGGGCGCTTTGGAATGTAGCTGAGAGCCACTGAGATCCAACCAACTCAAACCAACTCTTCAATTCTGCTCCTGGCGTTTGGAAGGTGGCACAAGATGAGCAGGCAGTTTGGCCGGAAGCTCGTGCCCCTCAAGCTTTACCTTGATCAGGTGATTCGCAAGTGCAAACTCTTCATCATCCAGATAGCCATCTTTGTCAACATCTGCCAGAGTCCAAACCTTTCCAAGCACCGTGTTTGGCAGCTTGGACTTCATCATCTCCTTCTTAGCCGTGGCACCAGATATCTTCCCATTAATTGGTGAGAGCGTGTAGAATATTTCATCATAGGATGGCTTATCACGGCCCACGATCCATTCCAGCTCATCAATGCCTTCACCTGCACCTTCTCCATATCCGTGACCAAATGGCCCGTTCATGATTCCCTCAAACGCACCACCCTTCACTGACTGGCTGGGCATGGCGGCCTCCTCCTTACGGACCAGCGTCATGAGCTTAGCGATGTCGTTACCTAGCATGTCTTCCACTGACTCCAGCAATTTTGGTTTAATGGCGGGAAATTTGGTGAAGTCCTGAACAGCTAGCAACTCCTGCAAAAAAATATTGTGTTGCGTTTTTATTTTTAATCAAAAGATCTTTATAAAACTTTCATTTCATAGATAAAAATTCATAGCGTCATACCTGCATTTTCTTTAAATTAGGAAAGTCTCCTGGTGAAATGTTGTGCTCTTTCTGAATCTTTTCATATATCGCACCCAAGTTGTTAACAAGCTCTTTTTTCTTTGCGTCTTTGCCAAATACACTTGGCATCTCTTTCTTCAGAGCACTGATAATGTAAGCATGTACCTAAAAGCAAAGTATTAAATGGACTCGGATTAAATACAAATAGCATTTGTGCAGTTTAGCGTGTCAGAACTACACTTCTCACAAGTATTAAGTTATTTCATAAAGTGAAAATAAGAAGTGAAACCAAAATCTGGTACACACGTATTGGGGTCTAAAGTTCATAAAAAAATTTAATGGACCAACACATTGAACTTCAACCTTCATAATTAAGATGGGGAAAAAAATTAAATAACCGTTTCCTATTTATATTTGAATTATATTTTATAATTTTATATTTTATAATAGTTATTTAATATAAGTTACTCCAGTCTTCAGTGTCACATGATCCTTCAGAAATCATTCTAGTATGCTCTTTTGGTGGTTTATAAATTATAAATATAATTATAAATGCCGTTTCTAACATTTTTGATCAATTGAATGCATCCATGCTGAATTTTTTTTTTTATGTTACTAATCCTAAGATTTTGAATGCTAGTGTAAATGTGCAAAAATGTCATAGGTTCACCTTAGCGAGACGTGCTCTTTTGATCAGATCGTTGAGTTTCCGCAGAGCTGCGTTTTGGGGAAGACTTTGAATATCCCGGAAGAGGTCCTGCTCCTCTGCTTCAAACAGCTTCCTGTTTTCTGCAATCAGAAGAGGCTGAGCCCAAAATGAGCCGATATACACTCGGACCACCTCAGGGGTGTTGATGATCTTCCCCAGTGACCACATGAGGGCACCATACACCCTCATCAGCTGCTGGGTGCTGATCTGGTCAGCTTTGTTCAGAACCACACGCATCTTGTCCTCATGGTTTTTCAGGGCCTTGATCACCTCTGAGAACTCATCAGAAATGTCCAGCTTGTGGGCGTCGAAGAGCAAGATGATTCTGTCCACTCGTTCTGCAAACCACTCAAGAACTGCTGCAAAGTCATAGCCTGCAATTGAGAGAAGTTAGAAAGACGTGCATTAGATTGGGCCCTAAATCAAAGCTCTGGAAAGAGGAAGTCAGCAGGGCTGCATGCAACATGCTTTATTTTAGAAAAGGAGGTCAGGGATAATGGATTTGATTAGAGACAGTGTCATCTGATCTCAGTGAATTCAGAAAAGTATAAAGCCATGTATTCAGAGAGAAAGAGATCTGCTGCCTGTGAAATCCCCGGTGTAGAGGAATTGAAAGGCAGCTATCATCATTGTGCATCTATTTATTTCCAGTAGAGAACCTGTGGCGGTACTGGCTAGGTAATAACCATAGAAAAATATTTATATTTTTAGGAAAAAATGGGTGATTCTTTAACCCATTGCATTAGGTTTTTGGACATTTATGAAAAACTACAAGCAGAAGGGAAAAATTAAAACAACAAAAACTTAGGGTTAAAGTGAAGTGTAAACTCCAAAGATTTGCATCAAAGGAACTATTAAGCAAAATCAGCAATAAGACTGTCAGAACAATAATAAAAAAAAAAAATACACATGGTACGAATATGAGGTCAATATAAAATATTGTATTTTAACATTTTAAATGAAGAAAATGAAAATCAATTCAATTATTATATTTATTTTAAACTGTTTTATTTAATTCTAACACTTAAAATTAATAAAAATGTACCAAAGAAAAATACAAACTATTTTAACCTACAATTATTGTAACATAAACTGTTGTTTTTGAAAGCTGCATTTATGGGAAAACTACATGTAGAAAGAAAAAAACACGAGGTTACAGTAAAGTGTAACCTGTTACAAGGCTGTAAGAACTATAAAGAAAGAAAATATTGTATGGAAATGAGGCTTATAAAGAAATAAAAAAAAAATTATCCAGTACAAAATTTAATGAACACAATCAGGTAAATTTTTAATTATTACATATTTTATTTTAGTTCTAACATTTTAAATTCATAAAAATGTACAAAAAAAGACACTTTTTAATTATCACGAAATAAATTGTTTTTGAATATTGCATTGAAAATCTACACACTCCCTATTTTTGAAAAGACATGATAGTTCTGACCCAGGAAACATTTATGAAATTCAAAAAGAATTAAAAAAAAAAAAATGATCACAACCAATCAATCAAAAAAAAGAAAAAGAAAAAAAGTAATAATTAAATAAACTGCAGTAGTCAGTGAGAGGTGCTTCTGGGAAAGCATTTTCTGAGCAAAATCTCACATGACCCTGTACCACACAGGAACTTTTAGTTCCACATTTT